AACGAAGGGTCGACCCGGGTCAGATCATGCTTTGCGCCGAATCGTTAGAAAGTCCGTGCTCCGAGTCTCGCTGCGCTGCGTAGCACGCTCCGGATTAAGAAGAGATACCTATCCATCGACTTGATGACTCGTCCCGATATTGAGAAGTGTTGCTCGTTCCGTGCACTCGCGTTGTTAGAAAAGGAGTCGCCGTACTCAGGACAGAAAACTCTTGCGCAATAATTCAGATCTCGGAAGGGCACCTCACCGATATCCTTAAAGATCAGTGCAAATACAAGCGTGACTCTAAATGACGTGATTCTCTTTTCTTCCTGTAAGTGAGCGACTCGCAGTAGTATCGCGATTTATCATGATTTATCGGATACAATTTATCCGTGACGAGAGAAACGTTAATAATTCTTAAATGATCGGGAAATGAAAAATGTATGATTCAACGCGACAGCGAACGACTAACAACCATTCAACGAAGTTTCATGACTTGTACGAGTTGTTGAGGGTAAATAGAACAAACATAATCGTTCAAAAATGTCCTCGGTCAATCTTCATCGTTAATCGGAATCGATTCAAAATGGTTAAAGCGTAATCGGACGTTGGTCCCACATGGTCGATGAAATACGAATAACGAATGGATGTCATGGAGAAACTCGTATGAGAATAAGTACGCGTGGGACGCGAGGACGCAACATCTTTCGTGTGTCGCATCGCGAAAAACATACAAACCACATTCATGACTTTTTAACGATCTAGGACGGAGCGATCCTACTTCAGACACTAGCTCAGACACATGTACGCGTTTATGTGTATAGCGGATGCTTTAATCCTCTCATTCTGAATTCTTGGAGTCTATGGATTGTTTTGAACCGCATGATGTATTACTATAAGTTACGTACTCACACCTTCTTGTAGTCGACGATTCGTAATTCTAAATAGGTACAATTACTTTCATTCTTCACATTTACGTAATACATAATACTCTATATGTCAGCGAAAGTTTCACCGACGTTTCATTGATGATAACAATATTGAAAAATGGAATTGTTCATATAGAACCACAAACAATTTAAATCAAAAGTTGAACAAAAAATATTTATTTATGCAAACGTATAAATAGATAAATTTTTTTCAAATAAGTTTACGAGTTTATGATTTTATGACTTTTATAATAAGAATAGTATCACATTAGATCGATTAATGAGATAAAACTGTTTACGCTATCAGTAATAATATGTAATTACCCCCTAAGCAAGTCTATATTTGTATATCTAAAACTGTATTTATTACAAATTATTACCAAAGCAATTATTACCAAAGAATAGTTTAATCGCTTCCAACTTCTCTCATCATGAAAATAAATAATCAATGTACTAAGTACCAATTGAATACGTAGCAAGACTTGCAGTAATAATTACTTTCGTTTTTCCGAGATAGTTTCGCACTGTTGGCTCGAACGAAAGTGAATGCATTAATATAACAGGATAAGGATCACCACCATAATTCTAGCTAATCTATGAAAGGATCACTCGTGCTGTTGATTAGTTTGCAAGAATTCTCCGCGACACTAGAATTTCGGTGCTATAATTCTAAGAGGATTCATCTGCATAATGCCATATTTGCCAAATCAAGAATCGAGATCAAGAGCTCAACATGATAATTCGGTAGATGAATCGAACGGCGTGCACGAGATGTTCCATGATGTAAATAACGACCGATGAGATCGTCATGTGCAAAGAAAATTATGGCTCCACTTTATAAATCTTAAGCGATTTGTTTAGATTTTACTTTTATACGTTTTAATGATTCGATATTGCGTATTCGCGTGATCATTATAGACGCATTCATCGACGGCTGTAAAGAGAAGATCACAGATCTGTTCGTGTCTACATGTTAATTCGAACATTTATAATTGAACAAATGTAATAAATTGCTGCATTAATTATCTCACTAAATTTGTATTTAATTTAATACATTTTATGTGTTTGAAATGGTCCATTCAAATTTATATGTTAATTCAACACAAAATAAATGTGATAGAAATTTAACATAAATATCATTTAAGAAGATATAAACACAAAAAAAGATAATACAGTTTGTAAACAAAATATGTTTCCATAGTTTGTTCAGTAAAATTAATATTTATACATTAAATTAACATATATTCATTCGTCTTAAAATTTACATTTTAAAATATATTATTTTTATTCACTTATTCATAAATTGTATTATTTTGACACAAAGAAATTTTTAATACAAAGAAATTCAACACAATTTAAATAACAGAATCACATTATGTTAAATTAACAAATATGTTAAAAAATTCAACATAAATATTTAGGATTTGAATGAACCGTTTCTAACACCGATTCAAAATGTTTTTTTGTTTCTAAAAAATCGATAATATACAGTATCATTAATTCTATGTTCATATGCAGGGTGTCCTGAAAGTTTTGACCAATTACTTTTTTGTGTGTAGATAGAACGGATTAAGCTGAGTCGAAAAGTCCTCTACTAAAAATTTTTTCGGAATTTTTTATCAACTTTTAAATACTGAATTTTTTTATTTTTACCAACATGAGAAAATACGATATTAAAAAATTTTTAGAGTTCTATGAGAAGAAAATTAATGATTTTTGTCTTTTGCAGTTTTTAACTAAGTTGATAGTATTTGAGTAAAAAATTATTCAAGACTAATATTTGGCAATTTTTAGTAATTAATATCTTGTTAACTATTGCGAAAATTGCAAAATTGGTAGAGGACTTTTCGATTCAATTTAATCCCTATCTACACAAATGCAATTGGCAAAAACTTTCGGGACATTTTGTATAATATAAAAATGTTTACAAGGCAAACGTTTTTTTATACCAACTGTACTAAATTTACGAAAGTCATTTATGAAGCCATTATCAGAGATTATTTCACATACATGTGTACTACAACGAGCAAAGAATAATCGGTACCAGGGTTCCTCTCGAACATTGATTCTCGAGATGTGTAGCGGAGTTCCTGGAGGCATGTCAGTTTCGATTATCCTCGGCTATCGTTAGGCCCCGTTCAGCGCGTGCTCGCTCGCGCGAACGCAGTCGCGGTCCTCGAAACGTCAGACTGTCGGGGCCGTAAATTTTTTCGCGGGCGCCCACCTCTTGTCATGCATATTCATGAATACTCGAATGTAATCGAACGCCGCGCGAGCGAGCCAACGTAGAAGGACTGGAGACGGCGGGGTCCTCGAGCGCTTCGATCAGCCGTCGACTCAATTCAAGAATGACGAGGGCCAACCATGAGAGCGTATATAGATAAGAGCGGCTCAAGGATCACTGCTCCTCTTGGCAAACCATGTCGTGGAATACCGAGGGACGGCCGTGCACTTTATGCGAATCCCGAGACGACACGCACGACATCGATTCTTATCTCGCGAAGGATACCGCGCGCCATGCAAAAAGTGCAATACGAGCGCGACGCGGTGATGCCGTTTTCGAAACGGCTTACAATATCATAACATGATCGAATTTGGTTTCAAATAACTTCGATATCGATACCGGATACCGACGGATCGCTCATTAAATGTATCAATGTGAAAACTTATGAAAAACCCGTTATCCATCTTAATTATCGCGAGATGCTCATTAGGGTACACAAGAGAGTCGCGTTACGGTGAGTCTTCATTTTTCAGTTGTAAAATAACTTCCCAAAGTGAAGTGAGAGGAAATTGCGACTTGTGACATGGATGAGGAACTTTTCTACCGCGATGCTAGAGTCATGGTTCTTGCTCTCTGTCAAGTGTGAGTGAACGATGTGACAGCCGGAGGAATAACTTCTGTCACGAAGCTGGTGAGGAGTGGCGCTGTTCAAGAGCTTCGTGACACCACCGATCCGCGAAGTGGAAGATCGTATCGTGTATGCGCGAGATAAGCGTGTCGGGTTATCTGTAATTAATCAATTTGCGTCTACCAGGCGGCAGCCTGGTAATTACAATTCTCCGTTTTATCACGAATTATGAAACCATTCATCGCGCGATTCCCGAGCGCGAGCGAAAATGGGGGGGAGGGGGGGACTATCTGTGGAAAGTAGACCGCGCCCCAGTTTTACGATGAAAGGTCGTTACTGCCGAGCGATATGCCGCGCTTCTAAGTGGAGGAAAACGAGGGGAAGCGTTTACACCCAATAGAACGGATGAGTAGATAATTTCAGTGGACACTCGAAAATCCCAACAACCACGCCCGTGACTTCGCGGAAATAGCAAATGTTAAGTGGTCCATAAAAACTATCATCGCGAGATCTAATATTTCGTTCTCAAAACGAGATAAAGAAAGAAAGAAAGAAAAAAGACAAGGAGAAGAAAGAAAGGAGAAAGTAGATTCTACAAACACTAGAGAGGGGTGAAGGATCACAACGCCAGCTTCAAGGGGTCATTATAGAACTTTCCTAGCTGGCGCGCCGTCTCTCCCTACTCGCTAATGCCAGACTGTCCGGATTGACTGATGCCAGGTCATTCAAAGCCTTCTAGATCGCTTCGTTGCCTCACTAACATAGAAGTCGGGAAGATATTGCGCGATTGATGACAGCGTGCACCATTACAGAGTTGTGGCTTTCAAAAGCCATTAAAAATACTAGCTACGTCCAACGCGATTCGTGCAACAATCTAACCGAATCGAAACATTTATCAGATTTTTTTCCTTATTTCAATGAATACGCGGATCATCGTATATATGATCATTATAACTTAAAGGAATTAGCTGTATAGCTTATAGGAATTAGCTCTTTTTATTTTCCAAGTTAGAATTGTGACAGAACAGACATGTTTCGAACAAAACCATCGCAGAAAAGTTTATAGGAAAACATTTGTCTCCAATGACAATCGTTGTGCAATCTCGCGCTTTAATAAAGGCATTAAAATTCGTTTGATGCGCTTGATGCGAGTATACGAATAATGACGTAAGTGCATTACCTACTATTTTTCCTTGTGGAAAACCGCATCGCGATAAAAAAAATCTCCTTGACTCACCTGTGCGTACTCGGCGCATATGTCGATTGACGAAACGTAATTAACGACATCCTCGATGGTCCAGCGATTTACGGCTTGCCCATCACCGCAAGGTATGTGGCCATAGAGAGTTGGACATCTGACCGGTGGAGGTGTGGTTGGTCTCGCGGTAGATTTCGGCTTGGGGGATACGCTTTCGGATCTCCTTGTTTCCGTTCTTTGTCGCTTGCGAGGTGCAAAACCACCGGGACTCGAAAGGTCCAAAGGACTCGTCACCCCTGTGTCTCTTTTGTTTGCGCCTACGTTTTAAAATAAAATAAAACGTTGTCTAATTTTTCTCAAAATTGATCAATGATATGCCACATAAACATACATATCAATCTAATACATAAAATATCTTATAATTCGATTGAATGCACTTAGTATGCGCTGGTATACATTAAAGCCATTATACACAAACTAATATAAAAACATATATTTAATATAAATATAAAAACGCATTAACCAAGATATTCTCGGTGTATTTTATTATGCTGTTAAGTAAAATATATATTTTATAATATTTGAAAAATATGTATTTTACTTTTGCACATTAAATCAATTTATGATTTTAATATGCAGTACGCACTACGCACTGATGCGTCAAATCAAATTTCCTATTAAAAAGCATGGATTTTTATCAACTGCTTTGATCAATCTAGAATTGATTTTTCTTCATAAGAATAGGTTGAGTATCACTCGCTTATATATATAAATGTTAAACAATTAAAAATTGAAGAAAATTAAAAATTAGTACAATTTGCGATTAAAAAATAATTCTGATTTCTTTTTTCAATCATAAAATAATGTTGATCTCTAATATATTTTTTTCTCTATTTAAAAATATAGTACACTTAATTCCTATGATACTTGCCTTTGAGATATGTTTCCAATTCTGCAGCGCTTTGTGCCGCATTGGCAGTTCGTACCATGTGCAAAAGAGCCTGGGTGGATGACATGTCGATCATAGGCGGAAACACAGGACTGCCGAAGAGACTATCCTGTTTTTGCTCTTTCGGATCTTTGTTGGAGAGCGGTGAGGTCGTCGGGACAGTCGATGGTTGCGGAGCTCCTAACGGCGCCATTAGACCAACGAACGGCGTTGCTGCAGCCTTGAAGGCTGGAAACCTCGGGTCTAAACCCGGAGGATAACCGTTTCTTGGTGTGCTAAAGTAACTGAAATAATCAATTGTCCTTGATCATTAACTTCTTATTATAAATATAAAAAAAATACTGGATACTATCACAATCGCACGTAAAAACATTTCAAACTTTTCAGATTCAAGAATATTTTTCTCATCTTTCATCCAATATAAAAAATGTTTTTCGTGATAAAGATGATGTATATGATATAGTAAATTATGAGTTTTAATTTCTTGACATGACTCAATGTCAAACGAGAAAATAAATTCTTCTTTCAGATTCAACGGATTATCTAGATGCCAACTGAATTTAGCAAAGCGTAAACAGATATGCGATAAATTAAAAAATCGAACCTTCTTCTTCAAATAGTAAGGATCGCATTGTTCAACAAAATCTATGTTCAACACTTAACTAAGCAATTAAATAATCATTTGATCTGTTTCCAACCATGTGCCAGAAGGTATAAAATTAAAAATCAACGTACAACGCGACAACCGGTTGCATGCAAGAGTACATTAAGTCTCTCGAGTACTCTCTACGTCTTATGAATCTTAATCACACGAATCTATTTGCAGCTTTCAAGTTTTAATTCTTTTATATCGTCTCGCAGTGTTCGTCAATATATTTGCATGTTATATTCCAACAAAAAATATTCAAAGACATTTGCAAAATCTTTCCTTAATCATACAAGACATTTAGATAAATTTTATGACACGGGCTCGATACAACAATAATGAAGCAGTATTTGCATGTCAATTTTTAATTGGCATGTCAATGTATGACTTATTTAAAAAGAAAACCGAAAGTGATGTTAATGTTGTAATATATGCCTCTTCGTTATGTTAATCTCCCAACCTATTTACAAGGATTATAACTCTACTATGAGTAATCAAAAGTGATCAATAAAATAAGATGGACGTACTCGTTGGGGTTAGCGTTGTTGTACTTGGCGGCGAGACTCCTCATAAAATCACTATAGTTCCGCCCCATCATCTGTTCCATGTGCTTGAGATGATGAGGTGGCGGTGGACCCTCGGGTCCTCCCAAGGGCGTAGCATTTGGCGGCGTCCCCGGGTGACTCGATGAAGAAGGCGTCACGCTCCTCGACGACGTCGAGTTATTGTCAGGCGTGAGTCGTTCCGTTTTAACCTGCAACGTGATAGGATTGCCTTTCTTTAAACGAGACATTACGAGACGCGCGCAACCGGATGTAATAAAAAGGAGCAAAACGTGCAGCAATTAACCGGTAATAAAAAGAATGGAGATATAAAGATGAAGTATTAATTAGTAAACGGAAACAACTCGGGTGCGATAAAAGTGTGTTTAACGCTATTTTATTTAACGCTAAAAAGGATAGATTAATAATTATTTGCAAATGCAAATTTTTTTTCAAGTACATTCACTTAAAACATTAGATTAATATAAATTATAATTTTAATATAACATATATCATATAAGATATATTTACAAAAACATTTTGTTATATTTCATCATAAAAGGAATATCCCATTTCAATTAATTTTCTATTCAAACCTTAAATTCTGGAACAGTGTTATGTTCGCGTAGGATAACTGCGGATAATATACCAATATAGGGAATATTCAACTCGTTGAGTTTAACTGATTAGCAGCGCTTGCGTTAGTGCCACAAAATTATTTACAATTGTATGCTTAACGTGTTGTATAAGTATCAAGAAGGGCAACAGTATTATCTTTATGAGGTAAATATTATAATGGCATGGTATACGAAAATGTGTGTTTCTTATAACTTTTATAATGCTTTATGTAAATTATTAAACATTACACAATATTTAGTTCGATTAGTTTGTTAATCTATTAATGTAGGTTAAAATGAAAATATTCAGTATATCATTGATCAGTATTCATTTTTTTAACAGCCACATTGTATAGGTTATCATAAGATGATGGGGCAATATGTCATTACTTTTGTTAAAGGATAAAATGATAGAAGTCATTTTCTCTAATATATAGGTTAGAGCACTATAAACACACATTTTCCATATAATTAGTTGTGACAGGATATTCGTATTGACAAATATTTAATAAATAAACTTAAATGTTACTCAATACGATATTATTTATTTGCTTATTATTGTATTATATTACTGTTTGTTGTATTACTATTATATTTACTGTTCAATTCAAAATTATGAATAAACAATACAGTTTTTTAATCCATCTTTTATAATGGATTGAATTTTCTTGATTACTGGAACTTAGACTTGTAAAACTATGTACTAAATATAAAATAAAACAAATATTTATTTATACGTTTAATAGTTACACATTATAATTTCTACTTAAAAAATGATTCAAAATATAATTGGATAATATCTAATTGTTGCAGTAGATGGATTCACGAGGACTTGTAGAAAGATATATTTATGCTATTAAAAACGTGTCTCTATATTATGTCACAAATATTTATTTTCATTATAAAAATCATTAATAATGTGTTCTTGCAATAAAACAAACAAAATAAACATTATATTTATTTTTTTATATATGGCATATTATCTGCATAGTGACTTATTATCCATTTTTCAGTATTTCTTTATTTTTAATAATAAAAAAATGAAAATATTCCAATCATGTACAAATAATAGATAAATATAAGTATACAAATATTATACAAATATATATAAAATTACTTTAAATTGAATAAATAATTATTCAAAAATCTAATTTCGCTTAAGTGTGGCATATTCTCCCCACTTATATATTTTGACGACACAAGTAGGATTAATAATTTAAAATTGTTAAGTGTCCTTGCGTAAAGTTGTCAACAGTACATCTGCGAATTACTCATTTCATCTTATCCATGGCAACAATAATTTTACTATCTTTATTACCGGTGTGCTTCGTGTTTGAATGCTGAAGGCCACAGAAACAATGCATCTTTAAAGAAAAAAAGAAACGCCTTTCCTCACTATTGTTCTCCGTATGAAACTAAAAACTGCGATGTTTAAAAAGATGCATTTAGAATATATGGATAATAATACTAATAAATGATTAATCAAAAAATACATAACTATTTTCCATATGATTAGTTACACACGTAGCAAAAATGTTTATTACAAATAATTAAAAATAAAAGAAACAACGCGAGCAACTGAATAACGAGCCGAGACAGATAATTATTAATGATAATTATTACTGCTTTTATAATACGACTACGTCTATTGTATCACAGATGATTATCATATTCTTGATTTACTGCCAGCGCGACTATTTAGCACTAATGCATAAGCTTCATTTGTATACAAAAAAAAGATTCCAGCCTTCGAAGCTTAGTTATCAACGACGGACCACGCCTTCAACTGTGAAGGACGCTTATCGGCAGTTGCTGAGCACAATATGTCTCGCTCGGGCGAGATGCGTGGCGGTAGGAAATATCCCGGGTGCATTAATTCCCGGGAACAGATTGCATCTGAGATATGGTAATGAAGGCAACGCGTGGCGTAAGAGTTGACTCCTCTTCGCTCGGCATGGCGAAAGGACGCGCCGTGACACTAAGAAGAACGAGAGTCGATTGGCGTAGAATAGGGTTCCCGAGACGCAGTCCGAAGACCGCGGTAGAGACTACGGTAAATCTCTTTCTCGCCTCCAGACCTCTTCCTGACAAGGGACC